AGCGGGGAAAGAGGGAGACAGGACTAACTGCGACTGTGATGCTTAGGAATGCAGATAGGGATATTATAGCTTGGTTTCCTCCTAGGAGCTCCTTACAAACCTTTGTGAGTCACTGGATCTTTGCTTTCAGTTAAATTGTATCAGGTGTGGAAAGAAGGGAGCAATTAGAACTGTGTCTGCTTTCCTGCTAGGATTAAAAGTGTAAACCTTGCAGCTACTTTTCCTCCACCATCAGAAACAAAGTTGATCTGACCAGTTGCCCTTCACAAATGACGATTTCTTTGCTCCCCCTTGATTTGCCTTTCAGCATTAAAAGAGGCACTGTTTCTTTTAAGGAAAGAAAGAGGCGCTTCAGTCAGATGGTCTCATGTCTTAACATACTTGATATTCCTTATGCTTTCATCAATAGCAAACGTGTTTCTTAGTAGTTCAACTAGTTATAGTAAACGTCCTAGGGATAAGTACATATTCTTGCCCTTTGCTCAAAACTGTCTACGGTAGAACTACTTGAAAGCTACTTTTTACCCAGTCTAGATACATTACTGACTACTGGAAGAAGTTAACGGCTTCTTGTCTACTAAGAAATAGCAAATGTAAAATCAATAAAAAAATTTAGTGCTGTAGTTCAGTAACTGGCAGCACTGCAGGGCAACAGCAACTTAGAAAAGGTGGATACATTTCATGAGAGCCTGGTAGCTTTGCATCCAAGGTAAAAGTGATTCTGTCTTAGGCTAGAGCATGGAGACAGTTTGACAGAGGGGTCGCAATAGGAATTCCCTTTCCTTACCCTGTTCAGACAAGTTTTTCAAAATCAGCTTCTGGCAGATGATGCAGCAGTAGAGAAACACGTATCATTGTCTTGTCTGGTGCTCTCAGAAACTGCACCTGCAGTGAGGTCGTTATGTAAGAAAGGTATGGAGACATACATAATCCAGGAGAAAACATAAGCATAATAGAAGGGAAAACTTGGAAATAAATACACAGTCCCTTCTGGTAACCACAGTACCTGAAAGCACAGCTAAACCTCATGCTCCCTTATTGCTGGGTTGATACACATGCCATTTCACAAGGGGATTATTCATTATTTTTCTTCTATTTATATACATGCTCTCCCATTTACTTAGTGGATTTATTTTTCCTATCTCCATTATATATTTTCTCTCTTTTCTCCTGTTAATTACTAATTCTCTCTTTCCCCCTCCTCTTGTTCCTCAGCTTTTGTTTTCCTTTCCCTTTTGGTCTTATCCTAAGAGGAGCGTGATACAGTACCACAGAAAACAGAGACAACAGTAGAGGTGGCAGAGAACAGACAAACTCCCTTAGCGGAGGGACAATTCCCTTAATGCTTTTGTAGAGGTTCATATATTGACCGTTGCAGAAGGGTCAGTATTGGTTTTGGGGGGAATCTGAGGTTGATCAGATGCATCAAATCTTATCATAGCATTGGCGCAGTCACTGCTTCCATTCCCAGTGACTCGGCTGTTTTTCTTTTGTTTGTGCAGACCTGCCCTTCCAGTTCAGGACTGCTGAAAGTTGCTACCTGCTGGAAAGCAGTCCGTTGTTTCTTCTTTCCCAAGTCCCAAGGTTAATTGTGAAACAAAGTTTTTCTGACAGTTAAATCCTCTTGCTCCTCCCACATTTTAGTTCTCAGTGACTTTAATTCTCTGTAATAGAAACAAATGTGGAGAAGAAAGTGAAGACTTTCAGTCTATTAGCTATGAAAACATTAATTTGTTAGAGAAAAATCTGAGCATATCCAAAGAAAAAGTACATCGGCTTAGATGCAACTGTTCTGAGTCAGCTGCTTCTCCATTTAAGCGAGCTGGGAGTTGTAAGTATTAGAAGGCAGAGCTCAAGAGGATGCTGAGATGGCTCAAATCACACACAGCTGTCAGGATGTGCCCATAAAACAACCAGTTCTGATTTCACCATCATCACTCCTGGCCCAGCTGAGTGTAAAACAGAGACCATATTTCCTGCTAAAAAAGACATAGATAGAGAAGGCAAGTGGAGAGCAAAGTTACAGCTGAGAACTCAGCTAGACCAATGCTTGAAATACTATTGAAAAATCAACTATATATAGCCTTTATAGAGTACATAGCAACGAGTTATAAAGCTGTATATATCTCATCTTATTTTACAGATTTTAAAAGAACTGAAACCTCTAGTGTGGATTTTTCTGAGTCAGAACATACCTGAAGTAGCTTATCTCATCTACCTGCTTTACACGGTAATTCATCAAACTCGGTTGCTTGATAAGGGGGAGCAAGGCTGGAGGCCTCCTCTTCATTACTGGATCCTTGGGCCCAAAACATGATGCCTCATTCCTGAGCATACCCCTTCGTTGCAGCTCCTGTTAGAATCAGTGAGAGGAGCAGGCACGTCCTCCCCCTTCAGGATCAACATTTGAAGACAGGAACCATGTCAAATTGCTGTTCAACTGGTTAGTTAGAGGCCCTAGAAGTCTCTGCAACTGGCAAAGTGTCCAGAATGATGAGGGAAAGATGCAACAAAATCTTCCAGTACAAGATACACAGCTCCTCAAAAATGCCTCCCCTCCTTCACTTCATCCAAGTCCTTGGGGTTCTATTGATTAAAGTATGCAGTCAAATCAGGCTCTTCCAGTTATCTGCTGGCAAAGCACAGAAGGACCACACACTGTCTTTGGTGGCTATATTTTGCTTGTATTGCAGTTAGGAAGAAAAGTACAGGTGGTGGCTTCTGACATAAGAGTAACATAACAGCTTGAAAATAGCTAGGTCTCCTTGCATTTTTGCATGGCAACAATGAGCACGCAAGAGCACCCAGCAAATGAGGGCATAGACACACAATGCAACACTCCTCTGTGCTAGAGAGAGCTGTAATATAGTCACTTCTCCAAACCGATTCTTTTTAGCATCTTTTGACTACCTGAAAAGGCAAAATAAAAGAAAAAAAGAAAGAAAAAGTAAACTGCACTTACCATTAATTACTTCAGCTCTGAAAAAGCTGCTAGATTGACTCTATATAGCAGCTGCTTAACAACCCTCTGCAGTATAAACAGGAAAACTGATAGAACATAATAGACAAACTCACTGCACCGAAATTGGCCAGGCCATCCATTACCTGCCTTGATTTGGGATACACACCACTGGGTTTGTTAACACATCAAAGAAGTCAGAACTGTGCTTTTTTTAATCTCATCCTGATAACCACTAAGCCTGCTGGGGCAGTGACTCAAACCTGCAGGAAGCGGGAAAAGAGTACTGCGAGATCCGTGGTATCTTTCCTGCAGTACTGGATTTTTGCAGAGGTCTCTCGTCTTGGTATTAACATGCCTGATCATACTTTGTTCATGGGAGCAGCAATCCTTCTTCAATGCAGTAGATAGCTGCAGGATATAAATATTGTTGCTTTTAATTAAAAGTTGCCGTTTTCTCTGTGTCCGAACCCTCAAAAAAGCATAGGTTAGGCAATTACTAATGTCATAAGCACAGTAATCAGGCTAGCCATGAATGAAAATGGGATCACGAAGCCATCCCCAGACATGCATGACAGGAACAGTACAATGACAACCAGGGAACATACCTTCATTCTATATTTTACAGTGGAAAGAGACTGAGATGTAAGATGAAGCCTGGTTTCGTTATCTCCAGCTTAACTGTTTTTTCAATCCGAGCACAATACTGTTTTCATATGCCTTTAATGACACAGAGATCAGAAGGTGTAATGCATTTACCTAGAGTCAGTGTGCAGCCAGGGAATCACGTAATCAGGAAAGTAAGACAGTTTAAAAGGGACCAGGTTTTTCCCCCCTCAATTACTATCTAGTGACTTCTTTCAGTGATTTAGTGGTCGATTGCATTTTATGGCTTCAGGGTTTTATGGCGCTAGGTGTTGATTGTTGTATGTCTCCATTTTCCTGCAGGTGATAAGGGAGTGGGGCAAAGGGAATTCTTACACTCTGGAAGCTGCTTTCATTACCGGCTCTTGCATTTCTGTTGCAATAAAATCTGTTTTGTTTTGGGCACTGATTCATGTCTACCGCAGCTTTGGGCAGGGGCTGAGAGAAAGAAGTAAGTACTTGAAAAAGTTAACTTAACTATGAAGGCTGTAGCCTATTGTATGACAGTCACAACTAAGTAGAGAGCTTGTCGAGCCAGGAAAATAGTTAGGGATAGTCACAATAAAAGGCAGATCCCTAATGACATCAAGCACTACTGCAGCCTCAGAATTCACTGGCCTGACAAAGCTCAGAAGCTTGGATGGAAATATGTGATCTCTCTCTGAAGTAAACTGACATTAGTCAAAGCTGCTTCCAACCTATGCAAGAATTGCTGCTATGCAGAAAAACAGCCCCGTGTGGAAAAACCTCCTCTATACAAGATACATGTAATTTTTCTTCTTTGTCATGCTGTATAACTGCCTTACGATAACCAAGACAGACAGAATAAAGAGACCTAGAGAGCCACTAATCTTAAACTACCAAACCTCCTTTTCCATGAAGGACATAAATGCTGCTCGGCATTGGTGTTGACTGATCTTCCTTTCTTTCCACAGTGTTTTCTTCCTATGGAAGGATCGACTCCTGAGCATCCCCCTTGTGCTCTGTCTGCAGCTCTTACAGAGTGAAATCCTCGCTGGGGAAGTTCTGATCAAGTACTTGCATTCAGGAGGTCAGATAATGGGTCCATTTCACAGAGGTAGGGGAAGTTGCTCAGAAAAATGTCTATACGTTTCTTGGTTTGTATTGTGCTAGGGAACTATAGCAGTGCAGCTGGTAACTTAGTTTAAAAACCAAAATGCGCTCGGGAATTAATCTCAATTCAATGAGTTTTGCTGACAGGATAACGCATCTTTCACTCCTCATTTTCCTGATGTTGCTTTGTAACTGCAGGAGGTTCACAACATGCATGTGAGAAGAGAATGTTGTTAATATAAATGCTGTTTTTCTGGATATACACAAACATAATGAAAATAATTTGCACACCCGTCTTTTATTACTGAGTCTAGAAGCGGACTGCCTACCGTCATGTCTCAACTCAGATCTGTTGCTAAAAAGAAGTCAAGCCCCAAAGTTGTTTTGACGACAGCTGTTTTCCCTGATCTCCACTACAGCTGTGGGATGGCTTAACCCCAACAGAAGCACTAGGGCTCTTGTTCCTCCGCTGACTTCAGAATATTTAATTATTTTTTTTTTAAATCCCAGCTGCACATGAAAACTACGCAATGTAATCTCATGCCTTCCTATAGTGTATCTAACCAATGTGCCATTTCATACACAAGGATGACTGTTAAAATAAGCCTTTAATATTGTAATTTAAAAGTTTGGTATTTTATTGATTGGAACCTTTAGCTACTGGCTGTCTTTTTTTTAAATAAAGCATAAACACAGTTTGCGCATGGATCATTATTTCTCGTATCAGCAACACGAGTTCAATAGGAAGCCTGTTTACAAACCGAGTATAGAAGAGGCTGGAACTGCAGTTCATGTGTGCTGTGAACATTGCCATCACATTCCTCCTCAGATACATCTTTAACTTGCAGGTACCCATACGCTGCAAAAAGTAGTGAAAATAGTTTATCGCAGCTTATTAGGGAAATTTACAAGGATGATCTCAAAACTTCTATAAAAAAAAGAATCTTATCCTAGTCTTCTGAACCTGAAGCAAATCTATTTTATAGATAGCACAATGGAGGCATGAAGAGGTTAAATGGCTATGGTCAGACTGCATACACTGACAATATCGAGAGAGAGCACGAGAGTGCCAGCTGATGCCTGTGACTTCATTCCACAAGTCAAAATGTGACTATGAATTGTTGCTGAAATGGAGGAACACAATTAAGCATAATCAGTCCTTTTCTAAAACAAGCAAACATGCAGCAGGTCTTGCCTAGAGCAGGACCAGTAAGGGAAGACTTTGATCTTGCAGTAGGTCTGTACTTGGTCAAAATTAGCTGAAGAAAGTAGGCTTGCGCTCTGCTCCTTTTATCTCCGTAGCAAGGAGATGGCAGAAGCAATTGTATCATTGGAAGGAAAAAAGTTGTGATTACATTCAAACATTTATCTCCCCAAAAGCAGAAATGTGTTGTTGCGCCTTGGGGAATTAACCTTCATATTTTCACAGGAAAATGTTCTTATTCCCGAGTAAGGTCGTCTTAAGTTCCGTGGAAATCTGCCTGTTCTTTTTCACAAGGTCTTGAAGTTAATACTTGTGTAGGTAAGAGCTGCTAGGCTGAATCTGCGAAAGTTTCCCGATACACAATCCTGTCATAATCTGCAGACAGTATCTTTGGCCTACTCTAAATTGAAGCACTTTATTTTTTTGCCCAGCCATTCTAATCCTGGATGTAGACAATCATTAAACCAACCGGTTCAGACAACCAGCTTGACATTTTCTATTATCAAAGCAGGAGATTAATCCAGCTAAATCCAAAGTTAACTTTAGGTAAAGACAAAGTTACTCATCACGTTTTTTTATTGGTATTCACCAATAGAAAACAATGGGGACAAATCACACTGTACCAAACAAATGGAAGCTACTGCTCTAAGCGTCATCAAGAACTTCCCCTGTCAAAAGCATTTAGCGAGTTTTACCCAGAATGATACATAAAAGGAGATTCCCATTTTAGGTAATGTGCACAAATTCTTTACCTAACACCTGATAAATACGCAAACATTTCCCCTTCTTTGATCTATCTTCTCTTCCATGCTATATGAGAAATCTCTCAAAAACAGCATGTAGAGAGGCTACTTTTTCATATGCAGTAAAATAAGTGCATCCAACAGGAAGAAAAAGTCCAAACCACTCATATGCTTCACCTTTCCATTATTATCTTCTACCTGTTCTTTGTTCAAGCCTTTGAGTTCGATGTTTCATTGTGCATTACTCAAAAAATTAATCAACTTGCTATTTTCCCATCACTACAAAGTATTGGTAGCTGTAATTGCACTTCTCTGGGCAGAGTTTCCTGCTTTTCTGTTTGAGGACAATACACGAGACCAAACTCTTTTTCCCCTTTGTGCTCATGACTCCCCTTAAGAAAGCACATGCACAACAGCTGATACTAATTTGGATTCCAGAAAAGTTAGAAGAACCCAGGACAGAAAGACAAAGATAATTTGACAAAGTAAGAAAGAACATTTAGGCCCTGCAATCCTGTGCCCCACAGTAACAAGTTATTAATTGGTATGGCTAGTTCAAATTGTCTTTAGAACATAATCATGTTTTTACGAAACCAATCCCAATACCACTGTAAATGCTATATGCTTCTTTACCACTCCTTTCATCAGCAATGCAGTAAGTCATCTCACAGTTGCACAAGGAGCATGAGACTGTCATCAAGAGGTAGGATGGCTGCACAAAAACGGAGACCCAGATTAAATTAAATTCAGTATTTCAGAGAAGAGCAGCAACAAGTACAAGCTGTGTTGACCTTCACATCCAGTAGGAGAGATTTTTTTTTGTACTTCCCGAGATGGCTGGAATCCATACTGCCACCCGATGCCTATGTGAACAATCTAGATTAAACTACATGTTGGAATAGGTTACGGATTAATTATGAAATCATAAAAGACTCTTAATCACAATCATTAGCCGCAAGTTTCATGCAAGAAGTGTCTAGAACTTGGTCACAATGTGCAAAGGCAAGGACAGAATGGGCATTTAAACTGCATTTTCAATCTTAAACTTACTAGGTATCCAACCCATCTGAGATTATCTCAGATTATTGCCCTTATCTATTTCTTTCCTCATTTTTCTACTCTTGGGCCTTCAAAAAAGTAGTTAATGTGGCCCAACTAGTTGTACAGAAGATTTGTTTCAACTTGCACAGCAAATCCAGCTTTTATTTTGAAACTTTTGAAAAAAGACTGGTATCAGACATATACATTCAAAAAAGCCTTGGGTGTATTTCTAGAAAACAGATGCTACCGTCCCATGAGACACTGTATCCAGAACCCACACTGGACATTCGCCTTCCAAGCAACTAATTGTGTATACCTGATTTTATATTCTCAACAGTCAAAATGCTGCTTTACAAATCCAACTTTACAAAAAGATTTTATTGAAAGGATTGAAAAATATTTGTTTTCAACAATATTTAAAACAAGTTTTCAAAGCATTAACAATATGTAACAGGATTTTTCCTCTTTTAAAAATTCAGTACACTGCGTTATTCCATACTACATCGGTTGTTAATAACTTCTTAAACTCTCTACTAGAGAATAACTTTTTTTAAAAAAAAAAAAACAAATTCATTTCCAAGCTTCCATTTTGGCCCTTTGTAGACTGGAAAGGATTTGTAGGTACAGTGACATTTACAAACCCTTCTATTAGAAACACTGCTCTTAATCAGCAAAAACCTATTTTACTAGTACATTTTAAACAAGTTATTTTGAGTAAGCTACATCAGCAAAATGAGCTTTTATTGCCAATATAACCAAGTCTGCATTACAACTTTTTTTCTGGTTCAGCTGTGGTTTGAACAGAAGTTACCCACACTTTAAATAGTTAAATATGCAAAACTTGAATGCTCTTTAAACCTCACTAGCCTGCTTGTGAATTGCTGGTTTGCGGATTAAAGGCCTTGAAAAGGGACTTTGTACAGTTAGATAAATTTGTAAAGTATTAACACAATTTGGGTTGATACAAAGCAGCTAGTACAATTACAATCAACGCAGCTTTTTGAAGAAAAAGCACAGGCTAAAGTCATCATGTGCCTTTCTTTCCTTCAGTCAGTGATTGCAGCTCTCTACTTGGCTGATCAGTGATCAAAGAAGATCGTTATCAAGCGGGAATAGTTGTACAAGCAACGCTGCAGAAGCCTCAAAGCCAGTAATGCTATTGCAGTACATGAGAAATTTAAAGACAGTTCCTAACCTAGATCTAACCTAGAGAAAGTAGTTAGGTAAATTTTGATTACAGATTTCATGAACTATGCACTCTGAAAATTGAAGTTCAGCAATTTAGTCAATAATAGCTTTAATATTATAAAAAGCATAAATAAAAAGTGCTGAATATAGTTTTATCTTTAAAAAAATACTAGATAAGGCTCATTAATCATTTCGCCTCACCTCCGCAAAATGATTTCCACTTCCTAGCATGCCTAGTGTGCTGCTTGTTTTCCACTTACTTAACCATACATTTACATAGCCACTATACCCTGTTCCTTTTCTCAATTATTGCATGTTTAAATAAAATAGTTTCAAAGCAAAAAGTCTGACACTTCTATAGTTCAGAAAGTAAACAGCTATTAAATAACTGAATACTCCACCTAGGAAACCCGTAAGCAGCTTCAAAACAGTGATAAAACAATTACTGCAGATTCAAGTGAAAGATAAATCCGAAAAGCTATGTGGATATTCTCCAAGATATCACAAAATTCATCTATTTAGACCAAATCAAACCAATATTCTATTTTACAAAATTTACAGAGTATTAATTTATATTAACATACTTTCATTGTGATTTGTATCATTAATCAAGAGTTTGCTTCTCCTTTATGGAAAAGTGCTCTCATCTGGATTTAATAAAATTAGACAGACTAGGGCAGCATCCAAACTAGAAGAGACATTATTTAAACCATCGGAGGACAGCAGGTTAGGCAGAGTTCGGAAATTAATACGTTTCCCATTACCACTTTGGACCACATGAAAAACATAAGACAATCATGAAAAGTTCAACAGAGCTTCTCACTTCACTTTCAAGGAAATCCGACCTTAATCAGTAAATTAATTCCTCCACAATATTATGCCATAGTCTTAAATTTAACAGATAATGTCCATTCCTTTAATAACCAATGCAGCAAGACTTTGAAAATGCTAAAGTTTGGATAGTTATGATCATGAGACTGCACCACAGAGAACATAAATGTAAACATTATACGTGGGTTTGATATTTTTCAGTTAAAGTACAGTACAAACCCTTTTTTCCCCCCTAGTTTTTTGTTGGTTTTTGCTTTTTTTCTTTCATAAAAGCACATACAATAAAATATGTACATAGAGAAGTTAGAAACGTTTGAAAGCATCTTAAAAAAGTAAATACGAGACTTAGAATATCTTGAGTGTGCTGAAGGCACCATTGCTACTCTACTGGGAATGTGTCCTCTCATTTATCAGCCTACCAACGCAGTATCCCTTCCTGTATCACTCAGCACCAAGAGCTGGAAGGTGTCTATGGAAGTTGAGGGCACTCAGGGCCTAGAATAGGATATTCTTTTCTTCAAGACAATAGTGGAACTAGACAATATAGTAGTAATTGAAGTCCAGATTCTTCTTGAACACTGGAGAATTTTTCTTTTTTTACTTTATAGTCTCTAACGCTACCATTTATTCCAGACAATCAAACAAAAATAATAAGAAAAACCAACACATTGATGATTCCCACCAACAGGAACTGTAGAGCTACAAACTAGCTCAGCTACAAAAATGGAAGTCACTGTAATAACCAACTAAGTCCACGCTGATGCTCATCCATGCTATTTGTGGATATTTACACAGTGATGACAGCCAAGGGTCAAACACTGTTCAAATGGGTGTAAGATACGTATATACATATATATATATGTATATATAAAAAAAAAAAACCACAGCTTTTTTTTACTAGTTCCATCTATTAATAAAAAACATGCTTCATGGGTATTTCTTCACAGTGTGTCACATTCACAAGTAAGGAGAAAGTATTTTAAGTGCTGCCTTGATGGGGAGCTGTTCTGGGCAAGACATTTAAACTAAAAAAGAGGAGCTTTTTTTTTTTTTGGAAAATTTCTTAGAGCCTTTATATGCATAGCAGTCTTAAACGGAATTACAAATATACCAAATTAAACAGAACATTTTAATGCCACTTTTCTACTGCCACTTTTTGATTATGTATCTACATTCAGCCTACCACGTTATTGGTAAGTTATAGGTTACAATCAAATCTACAGATGCTGTCGTCAATACCAATCAGAAATAATCCGTTTTCAGATCGCTCATTTGCAGGAAATTCACATTAGATTACAATCAGAGCCTAATTTCTTCCACTCATACTCTTGGTGGACAGGAAGTAGCACAATAATTTCCAGCCATCAGCAGATCAGACAGATATAAACTATAATCAGTATATATGTCTGAGATGGCGACCACACTCGTTAGCCAAAAACTTAAAAATCCAAGCATAGAGAAGGGATACTGCCACTTTCCATTCCCACAAGTCTTGTTCAGTGTAGACACTCAAAATTCTTCTTCTTCAACAGCAAAGTTATTTTGCTTCTTCCGAACATTCCAGTGTAAACACTCAGCCAAGCTTTCAAACCAGTCGCTCACAGGATCTCGGAAACAGATCGAAGGAAGGGGATAGCAAGAGGTAGTGATGCTAATACTGCAACAACACAGGAATACCCCAGTCAGTCAAGGGCAATGAACAGCAATTAAAAAAATCTTCTATTCACTAGCTAACATAGTGCTATGTTCAGCCAATTTGGTAAAACAGCAAGTTTCCTTAATCAAGCAATAACCAAGTCTGCAGGCTCATCTAAACAGAGCGAACACAGGGCTTAAAATTGTTAACAGATGCACTGTGGACAGCATTCTTTGACACAGTGAGAATACTGAACCCACTCCATGACGTCC